CAAAGCCAGCTGGGGTGGGGGTCTGGCTGCTGGGGGGGGGCAGGCACTCACTCCTGAACTTGCCATCCTGCTGCAGGTGGGTACCAGGAGCCTCTTGCCGGGCCAGCACATCTGCCAGAAAATCGATTTCTTCCTCCAAGCTGGGAAGGGATGTCCGCCCTGTGACAGGAGAGAGCAGATGTGGGACGGGCACCCTGGGCACGCGGCCAGGCCCCCAGCCCAAAGCTGAGCCCAGCAACCCCCCAGAATGGGGCTCATGGCCCCACACAAGCAAATGTGGGTGGTCTGGAGTTCAAGGGTGCAGCCCTCTGGCACACTAGTGGTCCCAAAGCCAAGACCTGGGCTCTGCCTGTGTCCTGTGCTTTTGAGGTGCTTTTCACCCCACAGATACCAGATGCTGCAGCCGCTGTCTGTGCCGGAGCCAGTAGGTGCTGCAGAGCCCTGCTGGGGCAGGCTGCCAGCACCTGCTGCTCAGGACCTCCCCCATGTCCTTGCTACACAATGGCCCTGAGCAAGGAGGGACATGAGCTGGACTAGAAAAGACCTCCTCCCAGCTGCCTGCGGGTGCAAGAGGCAGTTCCAGCAGCACCAGTTGTTTCAAGAACGGGCAGGGCACACCTGAATGCTGGCTTTCACCCCAAATTGTCCCATACAGACCAGGGGGCTGGAACCACCCCAGAGCAGGGCTCAAACAGGGCTGTCCAGGAGCTGGGGGAACCTTTTACTCTAGCTGAGGGGCTGGCTTCTGCCCAGCACCCGGCAGAATGTGGCCCCTTTAGGGAGGGGGAGGGGTGCTGCCTGCAGCAGTGACCACCATGTGTCCCCAGAAGCTGGCTGGGCATTTCAGGGGTGTCTGCCCCAGCCCACACCTGAGCTCAGAGCACACCAGGAACCTACTCTGGCAGGGGGCATGGACAGGACCCCCACTCTGGCCTGGGGGTGCCCACCCATGGGGTGACAGTGTCAGATATTTTGGGGACAACAGCAGGAGTGGAACTGCTGTCCCCAGCCTGCAAGGCAGAGTCAGGCTCTGATGCTCATCACTTTGCTTTTAACAGGATGAAACTCAACTTCAGAGGCAGGAGACATCCCTGTCACCCACCCTGCTCCCTCTGTCCACATCCAGTCTGTCCCCAGAGAGAAGCCCTGGAGGATAAATCAAGATGTACAAAGGTGAGGTGGTACAAGGAGCTCCATCCCCAGATCATTCAAGGTTATAACAATTACAGCTCCTCTGGAATCTGTCCTCACTCACAATGTTTGGAAAGAAATCCCAGTTCCCTTTGGAGCCAGACACAAAGGCCTCTCTGCTGCCTGTGACTCAGACCTACACAAGCCAAAAACCAAGGGGGACACTTAAAACTAGTGCACAAAGAGCCATTGTCCCCATGTCCACTGTGTCCCTTGGCTCCCGGAGCCCTGCCAGACTCCTGTCCTCTGCAAGAGCTGGAGTGTCCCACACACCCCAGGTTTCCCTATCTCTTTGCACCCCCTTACTTCCACCCCCAAAGCAGTTTGCAAAGCAGAGCCATGGCCCAGTGGTGCCAGCTTCGGGACTGTGCCACCAGAAGAAGGGACAACTCTCCACTGGGACAACTCTACACCAAAGCCAGCTCTCCCCCGAGTCAGGACAACTCTGCTGGGACAACTCTGCTCCAGGACTGCTACATCAGAGATAATGGATGTACCTGTGTGATTAACATATGAAAGAAGGGGAAACGAGATGGGGGATGGAAAGCAGTGGTGGGGAGCAGATGCCTAGGGCCTTGAGGAAGGAGGGGGAGGAGGTGCCCGAGCAGCCCATGGTGAGATGGCAGAGAAAGGTGAAGATGGGCATGTTGTCCTGAAAGTGACAACAGGCAAAGATGGTTATTATGAACAGCTTGTTTCAGGACACAGTCCTCTGGTCAGATTGAAGAAATACAGGAAAGCTGATGACTGCTTTTCAAAGATTGTGTCTGACTATGGCAACAGAAGCTCTCTAGACACTTGCATGCCAGTGCACACAATTTTCAAGTACCTTAAGAAAATGTGGGGTTTTTTTGCCATTTTCTACCTGCATTTGTATACCATCACCATTAAAAACATTGTTTTTGCTACTTAACATCAATTTCCAGAACTGTATTTTGCTTCAAAACTGCCTTAAAACAGTATATTAAAAAATTATATTGATTTAAGTTATACTTTTATGGTATATGCTTTATTATTATGTTGTATTTCATTATGCTATTTTTTATAATGTTATTTATATCCTATGTGTAATTGCATTTGTGCAGCATCACTTTTAAAACTCTTTTCTAAGTGCCTTAAAACAGTATTAAAAACCACTTTTTGTTGTTTTATAATTGCATTTGTGTAGCATCACTTTCAAAACTGCATTTGTGGCCCAGACCATTAAAAACAGTCCTTTTTTCTGATTGAAATAAAAATTCACAGTGAGAGAAAGCTGAGTAAAGGTTAGAAATGAGAACACAGTGATTAAATTAAGGGAAATCTAGGAGGCCTGGGAAGGGAAAAATTCAGGGTGTGAAAAGGTTGAGGCTGCTGGCTCTGTAGGGCTGCCTCTCCACGGGGCAGACACCGTGTGGCTTGCAAGGGCTTTGCAGAGCTTGCTGTGGTGGGATGTCTAGGGAGGAGCAGCACAGCCCTATGTCACCCGCTTATCCATCGAGAGGAGGAGCCCTGTGGAGGGCTGTGCTGGTGTGGAGATGTGCCCCGCTTGAGATGTCGCAGTGTAGAGTTGTCCAGCAGAGAGTTGGTGGTGGAGAGTTGTTCCAAGGCTGTGCGACCACTGCTGTGCCCAATGGGTGAGAACCATGGTGCCAGCATGGGGCCAGGTTCTTCCAACACGCAGGGGAGCTGGCACAGGATGAGTGTGACAGCCCTGTGGGGGCAGTCCTGTGCCCCGTGGGGGTTGCCCTGTGCCCCACAGGGACAGTCCTGTGTCAGGGATGGGGACAGCCTGGCTCTGGCTCCCCACTGCTCTCAAGGAAAGGGTTGTCCACATTCCCACAGGTCCCAGGGGACAGCCCTGTCTGCGCCCTCATATCACCAGCAGGCCTGGGGCATCTGGATGTGCAGGGTGCATGCAAAGTGTGAACAGAACATGCACAGGGCGCAGGGTGCACCCAGGCGGCACAGGGTGCACGCAGGGCTTGCACGGGACAAGGGTGCCCTCTCATGGCAGGTCCCACCACTCCTGCAGCAGGGAGGACAAGGCCAGGCTGGCACATCACAGCATCCCAGCCCATCCCCAGGGTCCAGCCACCTCCCGAGACTGGTTTGGGGACAGCAGGGAGCAATGAAGGACGCGTGTGGCTTCAGCCCTGGGGTGGAGTAAACCAGATGTTGACAGTTTCCATAGGAGGGCACAAAATTCCTACAAAAATCCACTTATTCCTGTAGCCCTGCCCCAACACGGCTGATGCCCTCCTGGCTGCTGGCAGGGACCCCCTTTTCCTCGGGATTGGTGTCATCAGCTGTCACCAGTGGTCATGGATGCTGAAGCCTTTAAAGGGGCTTTCCACGTAGCTCTGCTTCAGCATCCTTGAGCTGCTGCAGCCCAACTTACTTGCATTGCATCTCCCCCAAATGCAGCTATTGCAGCCCCTCCACACCCTCTGTGGCTCCCCCCGAGCAGCTGGGCGCTGCTGCCAGACCAAGGTACAGGCAGGATGCAAAAGCATCCCTGGGGAAAAAAACCCAAATCCAGCTCCTGCTCCCCTACACACTAAAACGGATGACTCAGGCAGGGATCGCCCTTTTTTTTGCCCTTTCTGTTCCCACAGTTTTGCTGCAAGAAGGTGGTGGCATTGCTTGAGGCAAGAGGACAGGGCTGGGAGAGACCATGGGACGGTCCCTATCCTCCTGGCATCCTCTGGGGATTCCCAAGGGATGCTAATACAGCCCTGCATCTCCCTACTGAAACTGAAAGATAATGGTACTGTGATCCCACCCTCTGCCAAAACCGGGTGAGAAGGCTACGATGGGCACGTCTCCCTGCTGAAGCTGGCACAGAGCAGAGTTGCTATGGAGATGCTGGCAGATGTGCAGCCCTTTCCAGAATGGAGTTTGTTCTCAAGACCTCACATTAAAAAATAAGTCACAAAAAGCAGCTACAGCTGTTTGGTGAGTGCAGACATGGAGCCCATGGCAGGGGCATCTGCCCTTCATTTCAGTTTGCTACTGAGTCCTGCACTTGGACACCATCCCTATGCCATACCCTCTCACCCCTTCCCCAGCCATCACAGAGCCAGGGCCCCACTTTGGGGGTGTCCCCTCTGCTTTAAGAGGTCATCCTCCTGCCAGGAGGCTGATGGCACAAAGGGCACGATGAGCTCTGCCAGCTCCATGCGCCCATCTGCTGCAAAGCACAGGCTGAGCCATGAGCCACGAGCAAAGAGCAGCTCTGGCTGTGAACCAGTGGGAGCCAAGACACAGAAACCGGAACACAAACGTGTCTCAAAACCCCAGCAGACCCCTCCATGCAGGGTGCAGGGGCTGGCCTTCTGGGGCCTGCCATGGTCCAGCTTGCTTGTCTTCCCCACCTGGTGTGGGACGAGCCAACCTGTGTGTTTGGGGGAGTGCCCGAGATCTTGGGGGGCAGAAAGGGCTGTGCTGGTGGGGATGGCACTGCTGTGCTGGTGAGGGCTGCTGCAGCTGTGCTGGCAGGGATGCCAGTGCAAGTGTCAGCCAGGATGCCATCTGTTGAGCACCAGCTCAGGCACATGCTGAGGCCAGGCATTGCCCACTGTGGGCAGGAGCCAGGCTCCAGGAGGGACCATGGCCTCTGCCTGCTGAGGAAAAACCAACCTTGGTAGGAGGGCTATGGGGGCCAGGGAGCAAAAAGCAGGCAGGGAAAGGTGGGCCAGGGGAAGCCACCGGTTGGTGCCCTTTGCAGTGGGCACAGAGCAGGTTTGGAGGGGCTCAGAGCCCCCACCCTGCATCCAGGCGGTCCTCAGTGAAACCACCCAAGAGTAGTGTGAGGTCATGGCCGGGTCCTGGCTCCTTCCCCACGCTCAGAAGCTGCTTCACTTCAGTTAAAGCAAGAGTGATTAGGTAGAGCTGCAATTACTGTTGTAACTTGCCTGCCTGTTGAATCTGCAAGAGAAACCACAAGGTGGGGGCACAGATCAGCTCTGCCTACAGCTTTCAAAGACTCATGAAGGTTTGAGGGTCACCCTAAAATATGCCTGCACCCATCTTCCAGCACCGACTGCGCAGCCAAGCTGGGTGCATGTGCTGCGACTGCACTGGGCACACCCTTCCTGCACTGCAGCAGTGGGTGGGAGAGCCCCGTGGCACGGGGTGACCATGGGCTGCAGCCCCCTGGGGATGTTCTGCCTGTCTCTGCTGGTTGGCACAGCACAGGCACCCGGGCTGCCACAGCTCCACCAATCCCATGGAAAAGCAGCAGGGAATAACAGACAGTGCTGCCCTTGGTGCCTCATGTGCAGCCAAGCAGGGCTTGTACCTGGTGCTACTGACTCCAACCCACCTGGCATGGATGCTGGGCATCACCAGAGGAGGACACAGCAGCCCCAGATCACAGCCTAAGATGTCAAAACGGTGGGAACCAGGTATAGAAATCCCAAGCACTGGAATGGCTGAGGGCACCTGCCTGCATCAGTCACGGGCTGAAGGAGTAATGGCTCCAAGCCCCAAAAGCCTCCCTCTTCTCCTGCAAAGCGTGGGGCTGTGCATAGCCATGTCCCCTCTTCCAAAAAGCCTCCCCTTCAGCAACCCCCAGAGCACCCCGCAGCTCCCTAGGTCCCCTCCCCGGGCGCCGGCAGGGCCTGGGGGCACTTGAGGCCACCAGCGTGGCTGCAGGAGGATGCACAAGGAGCAGGGTCAGGTCTGTCTACTTTCCCCAACCCCAAACACACCCCACGGTGAGCCAGGGCTTGGGGTGAGAGAGGGCAGAGCTGCTGACCCATGGGGACATAGCTGCCACCATGAGGAGGAGCCAGAGGATGGAGAGCGGGGGTTGGGATGCCCTGAGACAGGGGAACCCCCTGCAGCTGCAGAGGAGTAGGGCAAGTTTGACAGTAGGTTTGTGGGCAGGTTGGTGGGCGGAGGTTGTGGAAGGGGTCTCCACAGGGTGGGTGCACCTACCACTGGGTGAGAGCTGCTTCTGCACGCATCGCCCACGATTGTCCTCCTGGAAGGCGGGCAGGCAGGGGCCGCAGGCGCCTGAGCCGGGCAGGCAGAACTGCCGGCGCTGCAGGGCACAGTCCAGGCTCCGGGGACAGGACACTGCTTCAGGGACAGGAGACAACAAGTCAGGAGGAGGAAAGGGGTCAAACGTGCCCCTGGGTCTGCCCACGGCCTCTTGGTGTGGGACCCAGGCAACATGGGTGGTGCAGATGTGCTTCATCAGGGCTGCCCTTGGCCCCACCTCACCTTTGCAAAGCCAGGGAAGAGTGGGCAGTGCCCATCCTTCTGCATGGGACCCCAAGCCCAGGGTGCCACTGTCCCCTGGGATGCCCCAAGCCCAGGGTGCTGCAGAACACCCCGAGTCCTGAAAAGCTGGCAGTGAAAAAAGTGTCAAGTGACAAGGTAGTCACCAGTGCTTGTGTAGTAGCTGTCAAACAAAAACAACCACCCAAATCATACTCCTCCCAAGCCTCAGCACGGCTGTGACAGGTCAGCAGCAGCAGCAGCAGCAGCAGCTTCGGTTTCCATCTGTGGGAAATGGTGCTTCTTCTTCCCCACGAGTCTAAACAAAATGCCTTGTGACACCATCCCTTTGACATGCAATAGGGCAAACTGGAGGGACCCAGCCCTCCCCCAGTGACACACCATGGCCCAAACCTTCCTTGGGGCATTATGGGGCATTTTGTTTCTGTGTCAGACTTGGTGACTTCCCCACTACCTGGGGACAGGGACAAGCCCCCCAGCCCCAACTTCACCCAGGCCCAACAGGCCATAGAAGCCTGCTACTGGCAGAAGCAGCCCCAGTCCTCCCCCAGCCCAGATCAACCCAGAGTAACTTCCTGAGGAGACACGAAGTCACCAGGTCCTATGCAAAGCTGTGGTCCTGAGACCTGGTGACAGTGGAAAACCACATGTGGAGATGGAGAGAACTGTGACCAGTGGGGACAGTGTCATGCAGGGCAATCACACAGATCTCACCCACAGCATGGGGCTGTGGGGACACTCTGGGGTCTGGCTTTCAGTGACAGCAGCAGGAGGAGGGTGACACTGCTGGCACTGCCATGGCACAGGCATAGACATCCCTCTGTCACAAGCTGGTGGCACTGTGCAGGTGTCCTGGGCTGAGCACAGCTGAATGGCAGTCACAGCTGGATGAGGGGGTGCAGAGCTCGACAGGAGGGGTGAATGGAGGGGTGCACAGATGGATGGAAAGGGGCACAGCTGGATAGGGTGCACAGCTGGATGGGGGTGCACAGCTGGACAGGGGGCAGAACTGGTTGGGGTGCAGACCTGAATGGGGACAGAGCAGGGTGGGAGCACAGCTGGATGGGGGTGCAGAGCTGGATGGTAGCATACAGCTGTATGGGGGGGCAGCAGACAGCTGCTCTAGCCCTGTTCGCCACTAGCCACGGTAGCCATGCCCACACCTTTCCAGCAGGCATGAGCTGTCACTGCCGCTCCTCAGTCCCTCTCTGGGATCAGGGCCAGGCCTGGCCCCCAGCACCCCCAGCCTGGTCATGAGTCACACAGGAGACAGCTTCCAGCACCATCCCACACTGTCCCTGACAGCCCTTGCCTGCCCACGCCAACACCATGGGCAAAGTGCCCACTGTCTGACTGTCCCTGTGTCCTGGGGGATGGCAACATCAGGAACAGCCCCAGAACAGCACGCCCCCCCCACGAGAACGGGCACCCCAACTTTGGGGGCTTTCCTGAGCATCCCCATCCCTGCAGAACCCCAGGGTGAGGGGGGGCAGCTCCTGCCGTGCCCAAGCACTGCATGGTGGAGAGTCCTGGCATGGGATGGAGCCACCAGGACATGGAGCCTGGGCCACCACCATCCCCCAGCAAGGGCACAGGTGCCAAGTGATGCCATCCCAAAATGACATGTGGGATGCTGAGCAGGATGCCACCCCCAACTATCCCCCCTTGCACAGCCCTATTTCATCATTACACTGCTCAGCAGAGCAGTAACCACTGCCAATGGCCCCTGGCTGCACCTGGACACCTCCCCACAGGACGTTGTGTTCGTCACCCCCAGGCTGGCAGCGACAAAGATGGGCAGAGCTGCCCTTGCTCCAGTGTTTTTTCTCACAGGGCTTTCTTGGCAGCTGCTGTTGGGTTTGCTGAACCCTGCACCAGCAATTTGCTCGGGGTGGGGGGCAGGGACCCACGTGCCCGCAGAACTGGGTTTGCTCCCTGGGGACAGCACAAGGCTTCGCTGGGCAGCTGGGGGGAATAAATGCTTAATGGGAAAATAATTGGGCATTTAAGCACAGAAATCGGACTCTGCCGCCTGCTTTGCCCACCCTGGGCTCACTCTCAAGGCCACTTTGTTTAAAAATCACAAAACAGCCAAGGCACACAGCCACTCAGTTTTGGCATTGTGTAGGCTCAGGGATGGGGACATACCACATGCCTGCAGGGTGCTGGGGAACACACTGGAGACCCCCACCTGTACCATGGACCCATGGGAACACATCACCCCAAAGCAGGTGCTGGCAAAAGTCATTCACTGGTGGGATGAAGCCACCCTGGTGTGGGTCACCTGGCACTTGTGGCCACGCAGTAACATGAGACCCTGGTGGGACCCTCAAAGCTACCTCAGAGCCATCTCAGGGCCACCTCAAAGCCACCTCAGGGCAGTGGGAGGGGTGGGGAGGGCAGCCCTGAGGCAGTGCGCAGCAACCGGTTAAACAAACCCCACCCTGGAATACATAAAGGTGGTTATCTCTGTTTGAGGAACATGCTGTGCCTGCCCAGCTGTCACTGGCTGGGACTAGGAGAGAGACACTGAGCTAATTAAGCTCCTCGTGTGTGTAATCGACCTAGTGAGCAGATACCACCCTGCAGGGTCCAGAGTCTGTGGGGGCTTTGTCAGTCTCTAAGCCCACCCTAAAGCCCTCTGGCCACTCCCCAGCTGGGCTGGCGAGGGTGGGCAACTCCTTGCCAGGCCAGGTGCCAGGGACCGAGCCACAGGGACATGTCTGATTCCAACTGTTGTCACGATGGGGCTTTGGGTGGGACAAGCTGCTGGTGCTGGAGAAGGCAGGCAGGCTCCCTGCAGGCAGAAACGCAGGCAGGAGCTGAGCCCAAGGCTGTGAGACACTGTGCAGCTGCTGTGGAAAGACAAACAGTGGTGAGCTGGGGACGTGCGGGAGTGGGAACAGCTATCAGGAAGCGCTGGCGTGTGAGCTCCGAGATGCACACACACACATGCACCTGGGACAGGTTATCCAAGGGGGGGCAGCTCAGCACAAGGCCCCAGCCCCAAGGACCCACCCTGGGGAGAATCATGCCATGGGGTCTGGCAATGTCTTGCCACGGCCGGGTAGGGCATGGAGCTGCTGGCAGCCACAGCCCAGGGTGAAGAGGTTTTTCAACACTTGCGCTAAAACCTACAGGTGACAAAAAACCCCACAATGACCCTAGGGAAGGACATCCGGGTGGCTTGGAAGGCAGGAACTGCCCTCGCTGTGTCACTGGAGCAGATAAAAAGATAAAATTGAACGTAAGTGGATAATTAATTAGTGCTGAGTGTTGCTCTGAGCACCAGCAGCGCACACACCCAGCCCCCGGCGGCAGGAGCTGGCAGAGCTGGCTGGGCAGGCAGCAGGGACTGGGCACCCAGCAAGAACTGGGCACGGAGCTTACACCAGCCTCGGGGCCATGCACGGCAGCTAGATGTGGTCCTGGCAGGGGATGCACACGAGGCCACACCAGGCGTGGTGGGACATCAGGATGCCCCGGGAGCAGGGGTGCAGGTCCCCGCTGCCACATGGAGCCTCTGCGCGCTGCCACGCAGCCAGAGGGGTGACCGAGGGCGCGGTGGGTCGGTGGCAGCCAGTGCCTGCCAACTCTGCTCCAAGGTCCCTCCTCCTCCTCCTCTTCCTGCTCCAGCCAGGCAATGTGGGACCTGCCTGCAGACCACCTGCCCGCTTGCGCTTCTGCTGGGAGCTGGCTCTGGCTGAGGCTTCTCCTGGCTCTGCAAATTGCTCCTGGCTCCAAAGGGCTGGAGCCAGACAGACAGGGGCACAGGAGGGCAGGCAGGGGCCAACTCTGCTCCAAGGTCCCTCCTCCTCCTCCTCTTCCTGCTCCAGCCAGGCAATGTGGGACCTGCCTGCAGACCACCTGCCCGCTTGCGCTTCTGCTGGGAGCTGGCTCTGGCTGAGGCTTCTCCTGGCTCTGCAAATTGCTCCTGGCTCCAAAGGGCTGGAGCCAGACAGACAGGGGCACAGGAGGGCAGGCAGGGCAGCAGGGGGGGGCAGGGGGG